CTGAAAGCGAGAGAAGGAACAGTACCGTGATCGGCAGGGATCGATGGCATCAGCATCTAGAACGTGTCAAGGTTAGCGCGTGTCAAGATAGCTATTGAATTAAATATTTGACTGATGACAAGCTCCCGCATTAGGTGCCAGTTTTTGAAACTGCAGAAAACTGAAACTATGACGAAAAAGTATTGCGTGAATTTGTAAAAACAGAGCTTGAATTAAAGGAAGGTTCGTTGAGCCGCTTACTCGGAGTTATCATTCACTTTGCGAGCCCTCGCAGCTCGTCAATCAGTTGAGCTTGACGAAGCAAAGAGAGCTTGACGAAGCAAAGACGCAGAGAATGTTCGACAAAAAACGGGAGAATCTCCATCAGCTATCCAAACCGTGAGGGATATTTTCTACTGGTCTACCTATACTTTCATAACATTTCTGATAGAAACTTTGGAAAACAGCTTTCTGAATACATTTAGCAAATCTGGTCATATTGAAGTCTTAGTGGAAACTATTGCTCAGAAGCACCCTTACACATCTTTAAATTTCGTTATGATTTGATTGTAGACAACCGAAGCTCTGTTAGTAATGGGGATACTTGTGCCGCTGCATGAAAACTGATTAGTTTGAAGTTATCTGTTTCACCGCACAACTTGGTACTAACCTTAACATTCATTACGTGAACTGATAATAAAATGTTATTGTTAGTAATGATGGAGATGTGAACATGGATGTAGCTCCGAATGTAGTAGCTACTTGATGCTTTTGTAACTTGAGCTTTTTCAACTGCAGGGTATTTTTGGGATTCCATATCATTGAGTCTATGCCGCTTTCAGTCGGTTGTGTGCACAGTTTTCAATAAGCAAAGTAGGGGGCGCAACGAGACGATTATTGGTAGGTGACAGGAAGTGATAGCGATTACTAAGACCTGATAAAAGTTTTAGAAAGGGAGGATTCATAGTGCAAGTCGAAGCAACAGTGAGAAGTTGAGTTCCGTTCATGATATAGGAGCGATACAGAACCATTAATTACTGGTGACAGAATAACTACATTTTCAGGTGGTAGAGCTTTCACACTGCTGACCCATGAAGGTTCAGGAATAGAGGCACCGATGACAGGTAAAAAGTAATGATATCAAGGAGGGGGTGTACATATATGATGTGCCTGAATGGGGAAATTCGGAAACAATCAACAATCATAATGATTTTTGAAAACCGCCTGCTCTGGCTCGTATGAAGATAATGTAGGTTTGGTCGCAATCGTTTCAAAAGAAGGGGCGTGTTAAAGGTTCAGAACGAATCTCCTGTCGGTCCAAAGCTTCGTCTAGTTCACCGAGTTGATGCACGCTTTGACATGAACAAAGCGAAATGTAGTACTCTTTTTCACAGGCGCTCATTGCTCTACAATTTTACTTTTCCGGAAGTAACAACACGCTGTATTCACTGTATTCAACACTGCAGACCAGAGCTATTTCAAACTGACTTCTCATATCTCTACATCTGTCAAAACTAAATGGAGACTGAAAACTACATTCGAGGAGATCGCGGTTGAAAGACGAGGATTAGCGAGGAATCTGTTGTGTATAACTTATGAAAATTATTTTTTCCAACTGCACTGCTCTTCCGTTTGAAAATGCCTTTTGCTTATTTCGCAGATTTTTCACATTATAATTCAGGTAGAGGAGTGCGTGGCGAAGACGGCCCACAGGGCCGTTGCAGAAGGGGGAGCGCACGAACAGCTGGGCCATCCGACTAGTAATTACATATCTTGCTATCCCTAGTGTTATTGCACCTATGTATGATTCTAATAGGTGTGAATTACATTCACTGTCATTAGTGCTGAGCAACATCTTCTTAACGTACGCGGAAAGAAGGATTCTGTTTCAGGAAGTTCCGCTGAATGTGGGAGTAATAAGACGGGGGAATTTGTTTTGTAGGAAAAGAGAACAAGTGACAGGAGGATGAGAAACTCAGGAGTATCCTAGGATAGGGAAAGTCTGTCGTACCAGGTGAGAAAATTCACAGTGGGGAGGGGGGGGGGGGGGTATACTGGCGCCGCCATTTCACGCATAACAACGCGGGCAAATGCTGCGCATGTCATCCCGCTTTCAACGCCTTATTGTGTCGCACTCGCCGCTACTCAAAATAGCTTCACACAGAGGGCACACCACTAGTTGGGGATTTCGGTCGAGTCCGTGCAACCACTCTAGAAGGTGGCTTGGTGCGACTCCCCCCCCCCCTAGTTGCTTCCTCTGATACGATCGAGCGTCCTCTCCCTCAGCGACCAAATACGACCCCTGTTAGGATCCGCAACCATGACGTACCCTGTTCACACATGATATCACCGTCGCTGCCTTTGTCAGCATACAGATGGAGGGATATCCTCCTCTGCTTTTTTATTCCACTCTTCAATTCTTTCGATTTGAAACAATGTTTATATACGAAACGCGTATTTTACATATGCGAAACGAAGACTGATATTCAGAGATCTGCTTTATTTTAGCGTTCGCCGCGCTCCATCTGTTCTCTTTTCTCCAGACGCTTCGCCCAGTGGCAATCGAGATCATACGGCTTGTCGTCTACCTTGAATAAAGTATACTCAAATGGCTATTCTGCTCTTAGTAATTATCTTCAAACGTACCAGGTAATACTCTCCGTTTGGAAGAGGACGATTGCACGACGAGCAGGCGAAACAGCGAGGATGCCAATGGCGATCGAGAGCAAGAAGGCACGTATCCACCAGTGTCTCCATGCAACCTACACAGCTAGTTTCAATTCTCTTCTACTGATTTCACCCCCACGAAGGAGCAGACGTATTGAAGGCTAGGTCCAGTCCATAAGCGAAGACAATAAGAGGCGTGGGTTTTATGCACGGTGATGACTTTGAGAGGGCGAGAGGCAGAAATGTGTGCATGAAAGAATAGAATTCAAATCGGAAAGCGAGTCGACTTGGGGCTAGTGATAACACACACGGAAAAGCCCCTTACCCCCCCCAACGATATAGTTCGCCTATAAACAGTCAGGCAGCTTCCTGACGCTCTCCTAGTCTTCTCGCTAACTGCAGGTAGGAAATAGGCTAACAGGAATAGGTTAAACAGCGAGAGAATTATGTTTCACAGAATTCCGCGACGTCATACCTTGCCAGCCAGGTCCAGAGCCAACATTCCGCATTTTGCTCCCATTTTTCAATTACTTTTGTGAATTAGTTTCTCTCCTTGTCGGTTTCATTCCCCTTGACGCACTTAATCTCACTTTTTCACACCTTACGTATATGAATGCACCTTCCTCTCACGCTCATTCTGCACCTGCGTCAAGTCCCCGCCCTTTTTGCGGGTATTTGGTCTCATTTGGTACCCCTCTCTGCCCGCTTCTCTCGGATGTCGCTTTCCGAATCGGAGATTTGACACTTCGGTCTTATCACACATTCTGAAGAGGCAGATATTATGACCCAGACAGTGAGGAGATAGACCACTCTTACCGCACTAGGCGCCAGGCTTATTTGTAAGATGAAAACCGTAGAGCCGTTAATTGGAGTACCTGCACACTTCGGATTGTACTTCTGGGCGAAACAATGTACGCAGTATGCGTGGCTGTCAGCGGCCTGAAAACTACGATAACTTTCCTGGGAACGAAGGCAGTTGGAGTAAATATGGTTAGCCCCGACTCACGACGACAACGTAAGAGCTGTTACAAGCGGGATGATGCGCACAGCACTGGCACTAGGACCTAGCAAACCCAACAAGGCAGCGCTACGGCGTTCCGAGTCCGTGTCTTTCACGTCAACTAGCTAGCGCGTACGATGCCGCGACTCAGTACTAACGACATAAACTCGCTGGATGGGTGGCGCTGACATTATACAAGGTGCTAAATAAAATCTGGAAATCTTATGGCGGCTTGAATGGTGATCAGCCACCTGAAGGCCTGCTGATTAGGTGAACTTCATAAGCACTATTCGGACATTACTCTCACCCAAGCCAAGCAATTACCTACTCCGGTCTGGGATCTAATATGTTAAGATATCAGACTTGGGCGCTCTGTGCCTTAGGAGCTTGGATCGCGAAGAATGAACGCACTCGTAGATATCGCGCATATGTATACTCAAAATCCCTGAGATCGGGTAGGCGTGGCTGCGTACTTGATTTTGTTTCGTGAGATATTGTCATTTCGGAGCAGTCGTAATCATGTCTACATCTGACACAGAACAAGATAGCAGTTGTTTCAAATTGAAGTATCCCACGAGAAACCCGTCCTATGCCATGCTCAAAAGCCACGCCTACTCCGTCTCAGGGATAAGGAGTAAGTTGTACCTGATAAGTCTGCTTGATAGGGCGTTTACAAGCGGTGCAGGTGAAATGATCCGGATGCCAGAGGCGATTCATTGCCACCACAGCCTGAAATAGCGATATTGTTATTGGTCATGTTTAAGGGTTTGGGCTCAGCATTACTCACAGCTGAGGGAGCTAGGAACATGACTCACCTCATCACCGATCGATGTGTGACATTGGCCACAAAGTCTTCGGTCAGCTGCTCTATCCATACAGCCGTCCAGGGAAGACGAATCTGGTTGGAATGAGAGCAAACCCTACCGTGCTACCCATGGATCGTTTGATACAGCACTTGTTATGAAAAAACCGTCTATCATCTGAATCGGTGTGAACTGATTCCAGTAAAGTGGATAATATCAACAATTTGTCATTTTCTATGAGATGCACCACGCATTAGCCTTCCCTTTGGCATTGCAGATACATTTTAGGTTGGCTTTCAGCCTCTTCTAAAAGCTTGCTAAGGGCGGCATGGGTTCAATAAAAGCCGATTTGTCAATATTAGTTTGACTAGCTAGTTTTGAAGCCAACGGTTCTTTGCTAATACCGGCTTCTTACCTCATCCCTCAGGGGTACACTCCAGATCCCCCAGATGCACTAGGCGTCGCTGCGTACTCCACTTAAAGTGGCGGCG